AGAATTTCCACAGTCACTTTAAACTTAACAACCTTTATAACATACCCTATAAATCACAGTGATTCACACACTTTACTTACAGCACGTACTGTTCGCTTGACTCAATTATTTATCTCTTCAACCTATCTATATCTCTTTAATCTATCTGCCTATCTCGCTGTCTTTCTTTGCCAGGCTTATATACTAGAAAAAAGAGGGCGCCACGAACAAACCAGAGTTGCCAGAAAAATTCACGATCCTTCTAGAAACTCCAGCGCGCATGCTCCAAGATTCACGTGACTTCCGCTGTCGTAACAATATCATGATGGTATGGCCCTTTTCAGGGTGGCTTGGATAATATAACCTATGCTCGAAGAACTTTTGGTTTGGGGGGGGGACAGGAGTACCCGGAGAAAACCCACTTTCACGGTCAAGTGCCGAATAATCTACTTGACCAGTGCCCGTCCTGGATAGCTGAAATTAATCAATTGATTAGTGAAATGCATGCATTTTCAGGAGTTATGAATATTCATTTAACATAAAAGTTATGTTCATTTTGTTTTAGGATAAAATTTCTGGGCGATATGTGATTTTGAAATGTGATGGGTGTCGATGATAGATGTTGGAAGTTTCTTGTGAGTGTGTTTTGGGTCGCAGCTAGTTTATAGTATTTAGAGGCGAGTTTGAAGCAGCGTTGTTTATTGGAGGTGATGTCAGTTATTCTGTCTTTGTTCTCCTGAAGAAGAATAGTCAACTATTCGAAAGCGCTCGAGTTTTGGGTCTTATTTTATGTTTATTACACTTTATATGTGATCCTGAGTTATTCTGTCTATGTATTCTCGCGGAGTGTAATTGGATAGTCGATGTGTAATTTTGATAACCTGGTTTTGTTGGGCTGGTAATCTGTTAAATATTTTGTCTGTGACATATTCGTATAATGGTCGAATGTATTGTAGATGCTTTTGATCAAATGGCTGTTGCATCCTTTGTTCATGCCGCCAATGCGGTGTAGGTACGATATTCTTTTGCTTGCTAATTGTAGTGTATTGTTAAAGTGGTGTGTCCAGCGAAGTCTGTTATCAAATGTTATGCCTACGAATTTAACGGAAGAGGACAGTGAGATTAGAATGTTATATAGGCAGAGTTTTATTTGG